TTGTCATTGTTCAGATGGCAACTGCTTGTGACGACGCCTATGATTTCTTTGATAGGGGATATCTGAATGACATGATTGTCGTTGATGTCCTGCAATTACGGGTACCATTGAGGTTTTCGATTTGTTAAACAGTGTTACATCCTGCGGCAGTAGAAACTCTCGACGACCCTTCGATATATGAGTCGAGCTTCGGGGACAGTTGGCGATTGCCAAATGTACCCGATCATTATCGAAACTTGTGTAGCTTTCAGAAATTCAATATTCGCCCATAATTAGCATTTGTACCACTGTTCAACATGCCAATGGCGGCATCCCTGCGTTTTAGAGACTGTGTGATAGGACATCGCGAGTTCTTTCGTATACGCGATTCTTATGATATCAGCCGCCACATAAAACCCGTCAGGGAAGAGGAGGCAAATCTCCATGAATGATACTGATCTCTACTGCATAGATGTCAGCAAGTGATTACTTTAGGAGTTCAGTCATTTGCTTGAAGTAGCGGTATTATCGCAATCCACAACGTCAGAAATGCAGAATGACCAATGCGTTCCAAATGAAACTGTAATATCTCATGTTGATTTGTAGGCTCAGGTTTTTCCTATCGAATATCTGAAGGTTAATGAGGTCTTTTCTTTAAGCTTCATTCATGTTTCTCATCGATTCAGCGATATAACAAGGCAAGGTTGGTATATCCGCATTCTAATGTATTAGAATAAGGAGCTGAATACTTAATTCAGCGATCGCTATCGCGATATGACGTTTAGGCAGAAAATTAGTTGAGTCTTGATAATCTGATCAGCTTAGCATTAATTTTGCAAGCTTTGACGTAAACTAATTTGCTATGCTAACTGGTTTCTGCAGATTCATCAGTTGGTAGTCGTTAGGATTCAGGAAGGTACTGTGCTCTCAGATTTAAACCACACATTACGCTGATCAATTCGACGCTTTATTGCCAGTGCTGCCATTGAAATTGCTGAAATATTATCTTCGATGGCAAGATGATAATTTTTACGATAAAATGACGATTAACTTAATCTTCAATTCAAGTAACTGACAAACGTAATATTCAAGTTTTGCAGACTTTAGGTGGTCTTGGTAACCGGAAAAGTTGAAAAAATGATACTGTATTCTCTCCACTTCTAAATATCGCTGGTCCAACATTAACTAAGCCCTTCCTCATGTTTACATACGAGTATTAATGCTTTATTCGAAGATTATTTCAGCCAGACAGAAGTAAAATATTTTTCTGGGGCATACACATTATGCTAATTATCACATTACACGGTCAATTGTTAGGTTAGTCAAGGCTGATGACCGCCTTAAGAGACGCTCGCATCAGACAGCCTGATCGTATTTCTTGGTAATTCTTTATGATCACGCAAGAACATCGTGCTATCCATATTGTTTGCATCTCAACACCTATGCCATTGCCAATGTGACGTAGGCGTAAATCATTCATTTCTAAAGAGCAATGATTGAAAATTTGGGATTATTCCCGGCGTCTCCGGAGTTCGAAACAGACTTCTTGCTACTGCATCGTTATGCCCCCCCAGAAGTTTAACTGCATTTTCTTTAGAGATTAATATGTAAGAAGGAACAAACGTTTGCAACCGTTGGAATGTCCATCTTCCTTGCACTTTCAAGATGAGTGCATTTCTAGCGCCCTTCTCATGAAATGTATGTTGATGTGCTGAACTCCATTTCGCTGCTTTCAGCCAAGAGTACCATATTTTTTAAAGGCAGAGTCGTAGCAGTTATGTGGCACGCATGGTGCATGATCATTTTTTACTTCGCAGAGAATGATATTCATATAAAAACCTCAAAGGGAATGAAGGCGAGTGACTCATAGCTAAGCTCGAACTTGAGACTTATCAGCCCTGAATTAGATGCCCTACAGACATAAATCTCCGGTCTGAAGCAACGTGAGGTAAATTCTTTGCTCAAGCGAATTCGCAGTTGAAAAAAAGATCGCTCCTCTCCGAACCCGGCTCCTGCGAAGTTCGAAGCTGACCTATTGGTTCTGTGTCACCGCCATTAATGTACATCGCTCCAATCATTCTGGTCAGATTTTTAATGAAGATGTCGTCAATTTTCCTTGGAAAGCATCGACAGGTCCTTCAATCGAGATGTCCTTCAACATCCCATGCCATTGCCTTGCCGCGGAAGGCTTCAGGTTTCATGCCGAGGTTTCATGATTAAAGCCAAGGCACGTCATTAAATCGCCTTGGTGTCATAATTAATGATCCCTCCTCTTGCTTGTCGCTCGTTCTCCGTGCGTAGATGAAGATACTTGATCCGTAGAAAGCAAATTTTGAGTGAGGAAATTCATAAATGGCGCATATCAGAGTGAGAATTATAACCATAAGTTACTTGGAGCAGTATAGTTGGTCTTTTAGGTGAAGCAGACCAGTCATTGCGGACAACGGCTAGCAAAAACCACCACAACAATCACATCGTAAAGCGAGTATTTTGGCGGAGCCTTAAGTAGAAAACTTTCGCTCCAGTTCGCTTTATGCATTATGATATACTTCACAAACCATGTTTTTTCCAGTTGTATTAACCAAAGGTAGAAATGGCACATCAAAATTTCATGCAGCTCTCTTGAAATAACGTTAAACTAATGATTTTAATAAGAAGAATGTACTTTATTCCAGAAGTGTACTGCCACATTTGCGATAGATAAGTTAGACTAGCGTTAAAACGACGCATAACATGCTTTTCTCTAAGTTTCTCCGTATGTGGAGCGCAGTCTTCGGAATATTTTATATGCCAGACTTTGGAAGAAATAACCCTGCTTTATTAGGCTAGAGGAATTGGCGACACGCATCGCTTATCCCAAGGAAATTGAATTTACATTCGCTACAACAAGAGTCATCGATGGCCTGCACCGCTTCGATGTCCACTCTTAGTATTCAACGTTTCCTATAAAGAATGACTTACGAAGTCGCTGCAGAAGATGACAAATTCTGCGTAAGGAAATTTATTGAACCATCCATACAGTTTATTCCTCTGCGTTCAAAGCGTTACTTTAATCGGTTTTACTGGGTCGAAAGCCTGAGTATTCCGTTACGCAAAATGCTTGGTACCTCCCGCCTCCTCTTAGATACGACCCTACCTCTTTCCTTGCCCATAAACTTAGAACCATTTTCAAAGTATTGTCGAACATTAACACATAGGACCCAAGTTCTCCAGCTTCATAGTAACACCTTTTGAATTCAAATGAAATCATCGAGCACAGTATTTTCATTGCGTACCCAAAATACGTCAACCAATTTCGTAACATCCACTATCTCTACTGTTTTCTCATGCAGCTCTCGAAATAGACTGTGAAAATACTCGATCCCTTAATTGGGAAAAGCATCATGCGTCCAAAATTCCTCTGAGTTTTGCAAGTAACTGAAACAGATTAAGCCCGCTGAAGGGAGCATTATGATAATCAACTGTTAAAGACTTATTTACTAGAATTCCTGCTGAGGTTAATATTGAAATAGTTGATAATCTTCTTTTTCGAGCTTATGATCGTTTCTTCAAGTTTTAGTTTACTGTAATTCACTTAAATGGTGTATTAATCGTTCAGCTAGGTCTTTCACAAAGTCAGTAATTTTTCGCATTGTATTCCTTCTTTAAATAATCCCAAGGGGCACACATGAAATTTGCTTTCCTCGTCCTTGATGAAATTTGTATGGAATATTGAAAATATAGTCCGAGACACGAACACGGACGTGTTTCCAACAGTTTCTAAACGATAGTTAGCGGATTTCTGCTATGCTTCCCACTAGCGATGAATATAGACTTCTGATTCTATGGCTGGCAGCACGAAAAACATGGAAAATTTCAACGTTTCGACCAAATTGGCATCGGTCATCATCAATCCTAATTATATTGAAATGTTTCAATTTTTGAAAATACAGTTTCTTCCTTGTTTCTTGTGCTGCCAAACGTAATCAAATGACCTATCACCTTCAAGTCGTCAACGACATGCTATCGAAATAAACCTGAAAAATTTTTCCTTGCGTCATAATTAACTCTGAGAATCGCGATGAACCTAAATCTAATCGTAAGCATGCTAACAATGATAAATATATGAGCTTTAATTTAGATAATCAGTTAAATAATAAAATGTGCATAATCACGGCTTTAATAGACCGGATTAGAATCCATTAGATTACTTTATGTGACAGTAATTGTCCTACTGAATTTGTTAATTATATTATACAGCGTAAAACAGTCTTTTTTTCATAGCGATTTCCCTTGAAGAGGGGTTCGCTAATCGAGTCAATTGCCGCCACATTTTTCAATCTCCTTTTAATTCTTTGGTGCCTATCCTCAGTTTCAAATCCCTCTTCACGACATCACGCGACCTTTTCTTTTGTCTTATCTTTTTTTTTCTTCCCTGGCAGTACCAATGCTTTGACCATATTTCCAACGTACTCGATGCGTCTTCGTTTCACGTGACCGAACCAACGGAGCCTGATTTCGTTAAGCTTTCCTGAAACTGGTACTACCTCTAGAGTGCCACATATCAAGCTGTTTCAGATGTGGTCTTTTCTGCTGACACCACATCCATCTGAGTATTCGCATTTCGACCGAGTTCAGCTGTCGCTTGTGTCTCTTCAGGGTAGCCAAACATTCCGTTCCGTAAAGAACCACCGGTCTTACTACCGTTCTGAACACCTTCCCTTTCAGCCTGTTGGACTTTTTTGTTGTGCACTACTCCGCTTAGTTCTCTCCATTTGAGCCATGCTTTTTTGATTGATTCTTTTAGCTCCCTGTCGATTTCCACATTATCTTTCCACTGGTTGGACGGCTTTCAGTCTGTTTTCCCCCACTGAAATAGTCCACCATATATTCGTAATTGCCTTTGCTAAGGCGAATGCCGTTCTGCTAAATGGCTATCTTCAGACAAAAATTCTCCATCTCTCGACTTCTACTTCTGGAATATCTTTGCCTTCACTCCATAACACAATGTCATCTGCATAGAACATGCAGTATGGAACTGCCTAATGCAAATCCTCACTTATCGTGTCTGTCGCCATCGAGAACAGAAATGAGTTCAGTGCGGATCCATGGTGAACTCCAACCCGCATAGAAAACTCTTCCATTTCGCCCCTTATACTTCGAACTATCGTTGTCACTCTGTCGTACTTTTTCATGCTCCACCAGATTACTTGCTCCGGGATTCGGTCAAACATTTTCTCCTGGTGTAAGAACACCACGTGAATGTCTTGCCTTCCTCCTCTGTATGTTTCGAGGACTGATCTTAAAGCAAAGATAGCAACCGTGGTTGATCTGCCTCGCATGAAGCCAAATTCGTTCGCAGTGATCACCACTTCCTGCATCAATCTTTTGTCAAGCGCCTCCAAAACTTCATCTTCATCTTCCATGTCCGCTTCTCCTTTTGGGTCGCGGAGGAAGCAGCGACAGACATAGCCACTAACGTTCCCGATCCTGTGTCAGAGTCTGACCTTCGTCAGAAAGCAACTGAAGTCTGGAATGGACTCCTTCCATATGTTTGCACCAGGTAAATCTTAGCCGTCTTCTGAGCCTTGTGACGGTCGGTTACGCAAGAAACAGTTTCTTAGCCTTCCTTTCTGAAACCATTCGCAACACCTGATCAATCAATTGCGACTTCTCAATCGCTTCTTTATTTCGTCCGCTTTCCTGTTCCAGTCTTCCCTCATCATTTTTCTCTGAACGGTTCTTTCAGATCCCGTTCGAGCATCTACTACCGCAACTTCTGTGTTGTCTTCATAGTCTCCGTCTTAATGGACAATTTCAGAGGGGTCTGGAACCAGTAAATAGAGCTGACTTGTGGTTGATTCCTTCGGAATAACCTAACGATATCAGACGTTCTTCGGGTCGTTCCTTCGGAGCAGGAAGTTGTTGATCAAGCTTCTCATCTCCCTTCTCTTTTAAGTTAGCAAATGGTTTTCTCTTTTCTGAAAGAACTTTTTCTCTGAGTTATATCATGTGGAACCGCCATCTGCAAGATGTTTTCTTCTTTATTTAACATATCATGTCCATGTCCGCCATGGATCCTGTCGTAATTCCTTCGAAATTTCCCGACGTGTCCGCTAAGTTCACCCCTGATCAGCGCGTTTTTGTTTCGCGGTATGTTTTACAGTGCGATGTCTACGCCCTCCCAGAATTTCAGCATTTCGGTTTCAGTCTGGCCAGTCTGAGGGGCACTGGTTCTTATTACATCTAAGATTCCACTTTCCAAAGTTAGCTTGACGTCCATGATTCTGTCGCTAATTCTATTGGTTTCGAATACCCTATTTTTCGTCGCTTCTTTCACTACCACTCCAACGCCATTTCTTCTGCTTGATGTTCCAGAGTAAATAAGTTTGTAGCCTAGCCCAATCCTTCCCTTTCGACTTCTCACCTTTCCATTTCGTCTCCTGAATGCGAGTGATCTGAACTGTTCCTTTTTGAGGCGTTTCCGCTAGTGCCATGCCCTTTCCTATTGTTGTTCCAAATGGATATTCGCACTTTCTCGCTTAGTTTTCAGGCTGACAATCTCCTCTGCGATTGTATTAGTCGCACGTACTGGTTCTTTTGCTCATTTCTCACAGTCCCCTCATTGCCTTTGGGGAACGCCCTAGAATTTTATGGTAAGTTCTAGAGGCAGTAGATTCATCATATTTGGCTTTGGCATTGGCTTTTACCGCCTGTTGCCTGCCTAACGCCAACCTAACTTTCTCAAACCGCGAAATGTTGCTTATTTTAGGGCGTATGAACTCGCCATATCGCGGAGCTGCGCTGTCATCGGGTCATGTGGTATTTTCTGGAGCCAACTTTGCCAGAAGTTGGCTAGCCGCACCCTCGCAAACCAAAAAATGACATATTTGTGGCTGACGTGGAACAGCAATAATCTCAAGGGTAATGTACGATGCAATAAAGCATCTGGGATTGTGTAGCACGCAGCAAGGGACATTCCTCCCAATTGTTACAGTGTGCTAGCATCATCAAAAAACGACACTGGCTGAACAGGCGGGTTAAGGAGACATCAACCATTCAGTCATGCGACAGAGTCAACCGGGACAAAGGATGCGAACTCACAGATTTGATGAGCCTTGTGTTCCTGTCGCCAAGAAAATACTAAACCATCAGCACAGACTGAAATCTCGCCTCTGGCTCTTCAGGTACCAGCAGTTGCGAATGCCAAAGAACGCCCGTAGTCAGTCAACCAATCTATTCAACTTAATGATGGCCCGTGAAAAGAGCCAAGACGTCGGTAGTGGTCAATCATCCGACAGTATGGTTTGAATTGCGTATTAATAAACGTTTTCTACGCTGTTTTCAGGTTTTCTATAGTCACATACGAACTGTACTCTAAATATCACTGCCTTCACAACTATTTTCACATCGTAGAACGACAGCTATTATTAGTATAACTGAGGTGAGTTAAACTTTGATTCCCCCCAACATCTTTATTGCAATTTCCATAATTGATGCAGAGACGATGAGGCACGAGTATTTCGATTTGAAGGTTCACGACGACGGCAGTTGTGAATTCCGGACCAAGTGAATACAGCGATACAGTGGATTTGTACAGCGCCAATAGAATTGCCCAACGATGAAGATGTAAAGTCCATAAATCTGTTCTGATGATTCCTTGCCTGCTTGCCTGTCTGCGAAGAAAATTTTCTTTTACATTATCGCGAACTGGGTTGATTTTCTGAGCCGAGAGACCACAGTAAAAATACAAGAATTTTTTAATTCTGCCTCGCCTATTACACATTATAGTTGACTTGAGTAGCACTGACAAACGACGTATGCGCAATCCTCCACTGGGCTAGTTTACTTCTTCTCGCATAGAAACACAGGGGGAATAACGCATTTTCCTCGCATTGGATATATGTTACCTGGCGCGGTTGCAGTGAATGCTTTCGGTACTGACTAAAAGAGAAAGAATGGTCTACATTGTGCTCTGCTTAATTCCATGTGAACCTTTAGAATAGACTTCTGCCTAAAAGTCGATTTTGGTCATTATGATCACGTCTAATGAACCTTAAACAATTTGTTGAGTTCAGCGAACTCAATGACTAGAATTCTGATAATTATCCAGGGCAAACATTAAAAGCAATCGACAAGCAAATCATTCTAAGAAAATCTTTACAATTGCGAAACCTGTTCCAAGATTAATTGAATGTAAGTAATTTATAAGTTTCACCCTGTGTCACCGAGAGGTCAGCAGCTATGATACTGATCACGCAGCTCCATAATTACTTAAAGCGGACTTTTTGAAAAGTATGGCAATAGAGTTGCGCAATCGCTATG